TTCAAAGTGGTTAGGATAGATATATAGTTACATTCTCTTAATGAATAGAATGATTTGTTCTAATGGTGTTTGTAAATAGGATCACAAGTCTGCATCTTGTACAGCAATTAACCACTAAGAAGAACGTATAGTGTGTTAATTATTGAAACTGTCCTAGCGATTTGATTTGAAACTGTCTCATTGCTATTTGCTTATCAATAAAATTATGAAAAAAAAAGTCAATGAACACTCACAGAAGAAAAAAATACAGAAAAAAAAAAATAAATAAACCCTAATGCTTTGGAGAATCAGAACACATTGGGGGGGGGGAGGCTAAACCCAAACTTGGGGCAGGGCTGGTGTGACATGTTGTGTGGGGATAGAACCACAGTCCTTGTGCGTTTGCCTAAGCTTGCCTAAGCAGGTACTTTAGACCGCTAAGCTATCTTGCCAGCCCCAGAACACATTTTAAGAAGCAAGAAGAGATAAAGGAAAGCAAAAAGAACCAGGAGAGAACAAGGCTTGAGAATCCAAGAATAGAATTTACAAGGCAAATGGTGACCTTTAATACAGCAGTTTGAAAAGAAGTTTGGAAGCAAAAGCCAGATTGTAAATGGAGAAGGAATTAAGAGTGAAGCGGGGACACAAACTCCTGAGCCAAAGTGTTACACATCACAGCTTGTGTCACTGTAAAAGGACCTGCAAAACATATTAACACAACACAACAGGGAAGCAGGGCTTTTATGTAGCACTTAATTTTTCACTTAAACTTCACAACAGACTTGGGAAAAAGGTTTTATCCCCATTTGAAAATGGAGTTGTTATATTCAATACTGAGTGTTAGAAAAAATTACATATTCTTTTCCAAGAGTGCATATTCTTATAATTGTTCTTTCAAGGGAATTTAGTAGAAAAAAATTATCATAAGCATGCACACAGATTTATCTACAAGGTTCTCCAGCATCATAGGAAAGAACTAAAAACAAGCTAACTCCAGCAGGGATCAGTATGTCCATGCTATGAAGTGACACGCAGTCAGTGTCAATGATACTGTAGAATGAACTGCTCAGATGAAAAGGAAAATGGTTTACAATTTATGAAGTGGATGAATACAACAACTTCACTCTGTGTGTGTGTGTGTGTGTGTGTGTGTATGCCTGTATTTTTTTTTTTTCTTCCAGGAATCCAACTCAGGACCTTAGGCATGTGCCACGGAGCTCTATCCCTGACCTTGTGTGTTCTGATGGGTGCTTTTTTTTCTGTATTTCCCAAAATTTCTACAATAAATGAATATTGCCTTTTAATGACATTAAAAAAAAAAAAAAGTTTTAGGGCCAGCCAAATAGCTCCGCGGATTAAAGTGCCTGCTTAGGCAGACACAGGGGCCTGGAGTTCAATCCCTGGGCCTGTCCTGCTGGCCCCGCCCCCAGGGCGCACTGAGACAGATTGAGACTGGGTGTGCGAGCACCTGTCTGGAATCCCAGCTCTTGGGAGGCTGTAAACAGAAGGATCACTACGAGTCCTATCTACGCAGTGAGACCCTGTACAACCTGTCCTAAAATACAGAAAAATAAATAAAAATTAGAAATTAAAAAAAATTTTAAAGGTTCTAAGTGTTTAAATAATGTTTTTGGTCAAACAACAGTATCTAAAGAAGGACAGATGAGAATGCTCCGGAATTCTACTCTTCTACCTCCTATCTGCCCGTTCTTTATATAAAAAAGTCAACAAGGAGGACTATCCCTCAAAAATGCAGATATCCTGCTTCTTTTCGATGCTCATTGAAAATATGTCCTCTACACGCAACCTGGCCGAAGACGTAAACTATAAGGCACACTTGTACTTAAGAGGAAAGCATGAGGACACCTAGAAATGCCAAAACAACAAAGATTTTATGAGTCCTCAGAGTACAGCAACCTGTACGGGTAAGATAAACTGCTAAAAAAAAAGAACACCGAATACCCAGCATACTAGAGCCTTGCAAAGTTCAGATTACAGCCTTTGCAGACCTCGACTTGAAATCATTACAGGAAAGAAACCCCCCAAAAGAGAAGACGCCAGGGGAGGACCGTCGGTCTTAACAGAACTCAAGACACTTCAGTAAGTCGCGCGGTACCCGACGCAGGTTGCGAAATGTGGCAACCCTTCCAAAGGCGTGGAGCGCCCAGGGGCAACGGCAGGCTCTTCAGCCACGAGAAAGAGGCCAACTTGGGCGCTCTGGGGGTGCAGCCCGCTGCGGCGGCACACCGCAGTCTGCACACTGCCCCACGTCCGCGGGCGCCGGAGGCCGCGCGAAACCTGCGGGGGCGGGCCGGCTCTCTACCGCACAATATATACCGTTAGGGACACTCACAGGCCTCAGCTACCCTAAATCCTTCCAGGAGGCGAGCCTGGCGACGAGACAAGCCCGCACCCACAGCGCCCCAGTCAGGAGCCCCCGAGAAGCCCCAGCCCCGAGTCCGACTTCCGCTCACGCGCGGTGAGACAGACGCGACCCGCCAAGCGCCGCGCCAAAACCAAACTACGGTGGCTCCGCTCGGGACAAATTCCTAACATGCCACTGTTCGGCAAACCTGGTCCGAGAAGAATTAAACCGGTTGGAACAATTTAGGAGGGCGGCCACGAAGGCATTTGAAGAATGGAGTAATCTATTGATTTGGAAATGACAGCAGTAAATTTGTGGACTACCAGGAACCAGAAAAGAATTTAATCTCTGCCTCCCTACCAGAGACCCGGGTTCGGCACATTGAGAGGGCGCGCCCCGGACCATAAACCCGCCCCGGAAGCCCCGCCCCTGGGGCGCGGCCTTGGGGGCGTGGCCGCTAGCCCCGGGGAGGGGGCGGGGCGGGAAGGGGCGGGGCCTGCCCTGCCTCGCGAGCTGTGCAAGCCGCACCCGGACTGAGCTGCGCAGCTTGGGTGTGCACCTAGCGTGTGAAGGTGATCCAGGTGAGTGCTAGCACCTGCGGGCTGGCCCTCGGGGGGCACTCAAACTCCTGCAGTGGGCATCCGATGTCTCAGCCGGCCTGAGGTAAAAGTAGGGTCTCTCTCAAGACCCCCTCCCTGAGCCGTGGCCTGAAGCTGTGCATTTGCGTCTTCTTTGCTCAGCTTCCTCTTTACCCCTTTGCATCCTTCCTGATACAGTGGGTTTGGAGCGTCCAGAGGAGACCTGCCGCGCTATCTGTAACGCAGTGAGATTCTCAAGGTCAACGCTTCCACAGTTCCTTCGTTTCCTCTCCTCCTTAGCTCTGGCTATGCGGCCCGGGGACTCCCCCTTTCTACCTTCTTGAGCCCACCCGACTGCCAACTGCAGCTCGAGGACAGAGGCTAGGCAAGCGGGGCACCGCCGGCTGTGCAGGCCTGGTCACTAACAATGGTTTCAGAAGTGGCCTGGAGCACTGAGCTTGCAGCACGAGGGTTGCTAGGATCCTTGCGGAGAGCCTCGGAGGGCATTCTGGGTTTTTTGGGTTTTTTTTCCTTCTGCCTCACTGAAACATTTGTATTAGAACCTGTAAGCGGTTGGTTTCCTACACCTGCATCAGGGCAGGAGATGCCACAGGAGAGGGTGGGGGCAGGGAAGAGTATCCTCATGTGTCTCTTCCGAGGATTTCAACAAAATTTCCTTTCTTTATCTGGTGTTTTGTAGGGAGGCACAGGCCCTAGAGGTGTGGCGCTGCAGGGCAGAGGAAGAGGCAGGGACCTCCTTGTTGACTCATTCTTCTAAGTTGTGGCTACTGCTAATACTTTCCTTGGGAGTCACAAAATTTACAAGTAGCCTGGGGAACAAGTGAGTGTGAAAAAGGAAGAAAAGGAAAATCAAGGACAGATGGTTGGATAGGTTGGCAAGAGAGGGGCTTTAATACCCTAAGTGGGAAAAGGGACCTTCCTAGAAGGTAAGGCTGCCTCCTGCTGCAGTTGTGTGGGGTGAGCCCAATTCTGCGGCACTGCTGCAGGCTTTAGGGTGGGATCTGGTGGAGGTCACCTGAAGCGTGAATGCCCTGGCAGTACCCAGGGTCACTGGTCAGTTCCAGTCCTGTTTTATTTCGGTCCCTCAGTAATGAGAGTATATTATCAGAAGCGGAAGGGGGGATAGAGAATATTTATTCTCACAGTAGTTAAATTTAACTGGGGAGTTAAATAAAACCACGTTCTAAAATCCAAACAAATACTTTCACTCCTGGGAAGACAGTCTTGTTAAGCTTCCCTCCTGACACAATGTTATAAAAATAGAAAACTTTGTCAAGTGATTCCTTTTTTTTTTTTTTTAAACCAATGTTACTATATATAAAAAGGACAGTGATACAGTGGCCAACCATAGATCCTGCACACCAGGGGCTTCCTTAAATTAGGAACAGAACTAGAGAAGGGCTGCCTTCCCTCCTATTTAGATTTCTTCCTCATGGCCTAGAATCCTGGGGAACCACAATTGTGAAAGGGAACCCATTCACATGGGGCTTAGCACAGAGAAGGAAAATACATAACAGAAAGGCTCTAGCTGTTCTGCAGAGGATGCTGAAAAGCCTCTCAGGCAACCTGGGCCAAAGTGACCTACTGCATGTCTAGCTGTAGTCAACACATTGCTCCCTATATTCATACCTAAGGGTTCTGATTTTGTAGCCAGAACACAGCACTCCCCGGTTATCTTCAAGGAGATTATTGCTCTGTAAGATAAAATCTCTTATACAGTGTCTACTTATTTATCTGTCTAGAGTGAACCTGTTCATTAAGTGGAATGTGGATTGTAAGATTTTGGTGCCTTAGTCCAATTTCTTTTTTAAAAAAGTGATATTTTACTTCTCCAGCTTAAGAAATGCAAACAGTTGTGCCAAAGTTTCATTCTAAGTACAGAGAGAAGTTAAACCCCTATTCTAGGCAAGAGTCAGCAGCCTAAGCAGTTCCTTTGCTTGATGGCTGGCACCTTGGGCAGCATTCAGTGTCTGCTAAAAATTAACTACAATCTACCCACATCTCTTGTGATGGAAAGTCCAGGTGGTACAGGGTAACCCTGTGGAGATTTTTTCCCCTCTTCTGGAAATTTTAGTTGCCTTGCCCTAGGACTCTGGGCTCCTGGGTGTTGTCAGTGAAGAGAAGGGTGTGTGAGGACCGCGTTGCAAGCATGGATTCCCAATTTCTGTGTTGCTTTGCTCCTTGCCAACCTGTATCTTAAAGACTGGAGATGTTTTCCTTCCTTGAATCTCTGCTTCTTCAGTTGTCCTGCAGTACTGGCAATAAAATGAAAATGTTCCCTTCTAGACCTTTTGGAAGTTTTTTTTTCCTTCTAATTAAAAACAGGCTTTAATAGTCACAGCTTAATTATTAGCTCTGATCTCGTTAATATATTTTATGCTCAGGAATGGGTGGGTGTGGGGAGGTAGAGTTATTTCAAAAGAGACCAGATGTTGTCAAACTTGCTCTTTGAACTTATTCAGAGACAATAAAGCCAACAATGGAAGCATAAATACTAGCGCCAGACTGCAGGGATGCGTAGGCAGCTAGGCTTTGCTCTGCTGTGTGACCTTGGGCAAATGATACAACCTCTCTGAGCTCAGTGTCCTCCCTGCACAATGGGAGCAGTGATCTGTTATAGAGGTACTGTGAGGGTTTAATGAGTCTCGTTGATGAACTGCTTAGAGCAGGGTTGGACACAGACTAAACAGTATGCATGCCGATTAAAAAGTACTACTGATCACTGGATTTTCTACTGCCCTTCCTCTAATCTCTGTCACTGCCCTTCAGGCATGCTGATCTCCTTTCTGTTCCTTACAAAAGTGCAGCCCACTCCTGTGTGCACCTGGTGTGGTTTTGGTTTTCTTACCCGTGTGTTTCTCAGACATCACCGTTAGTGTTCCTTGGGCTTTTAGCCTCATCTTCTCATCCTCCTGATTTAAGATGATCCTGTGTTGTTCTCACCTCTGTACACACACTCACCTGAGCCCTCGGGAGGCCAGGAACTTCCCTCTCAGTATCGATGGCCGTTGTTGCCCTACATAACCTTGAATGACTCATGGCATTTAGTATAGAATAAAAAAGGTAAGCAATCATTCTTTAAAGAAAATATGGCAGAAGGTGATAGGTGTGGACTTCGAGGCAAGCATTCCATAAGGTACAGTACTTTGTCCTTCATTGAGTTTATCAAGACAGCTTCAGCTAGTGAAATTTGTGATTTTCTTCTGCCTTTCTTTAGCCCGTGGTTTCTCTCCATTCCCTTCCCTGCCCTCTGAGGCTGCTACACTCAGAACTTAGTCACATTTCATGAGTGACTCAGCAGCAAAGATTTGGCATTAAGGAGCCTTAACCTTGGAGAATCTGTTACAAAACTTCCCCTCACACCTGCATGGGAACCTGGACTTTGCTCTGTCTTACCATAAATCTGGCAAGCCATGGTGATAAATGCCTATATCCCAGCACTTGGAAGGCTGAAGTAGGAGGGATATTGTTAACTTCAAGGCCAGCCTGAACTACATGGTAAGACCCTGTCTCAAAACAAAACAAGACAAGCATTCTGAAATTCCTGTAGAGTGAAATCCCCAGTTTTCCCCAGGGGAGAGTGAGTTCGCTACAAGCATGTATGTTTAGAGCCTTGTTACACAGACATCAACCACCAGAGAAGTGGGACACATGGCCTCCGCAAAGAGTGTGCCAGTACAGGCTTGCCCCACACAACCCGGAGAGTCTCAGGTTTTGGGGTTCCTGCAGCTCTTCCCCTCCCCCCCCAGCCAGCACAGTGGTATATTAAACACTTGCTCTCAGTATTGACAATTCACCAATGTGTTGACACTAAAGTGACCTCTGAAATTAAACATATGGCCAAGCTGTAGCTGTTCAACATAAAGCTGAATGTATTTGGATGGTAGCGCATGTATCCCTTACAAGGACAGATGGCCATCCTAACTGACAGTTTCCACTTTGCAAGTATACTGCCAATGACATTCATGAGGAACTGAATATGATGTACTAGGAAAAACCTACTTTGACTAATAGATTGAGTGACTGACCACAGTACTGGGGATTGAATGCAGAGCTCCATATTGAGCTACCTCTGTGCCCCATTTTTTATTTTGAGACAGGGTCTTGCTTTAACATGGTGTTGAGGCTGAGCTTGAACTAATGATCCCCTGCTCAGCCTCCCAGTGGCAAGTGCTACCATGTCCGGTGGGAAATGCCACTTCAGCCCCACTTGCTGCTGTTGGCCCTTGCCTGAATTCACAAGGAAGTTACTCCTTATCTACCTGGATGTATAATCCTATTCCTACTCGACTGATTGGGTTTCCTTGTAATAATATGTCATTGAATATACAGAGCCATTGGGGGAAAAGAGTTACTTTTTACTGCGTAGGTTTTTTTATCCCTTCTCTTAAAGCTCTGTTAAATAGTGGCCATTTTAAGGTTTGATACTCAAACAGGTATTATTTGTTTCACTTAAAAATGGATCAGCTCTGACATTCTGAAAATGTAAGATGAATGCAGGGAGATCCTGTAACTCTCCTTTGACACTCTCGTCATGGAGACAGAGAATTACTTCTATATTACCGCCTCCAGAGCCTTCTGTTGCTCCGTTGAGCTCTGTGTGGGCAGGAAGGTCAGCTACCCTGTCTGGAAATAATTTTGAGGCCTGTGCTTTGTGGAAACATCTGGAGGCTGTGTAGCCACTATGAGGAGGGAGGCGCTTTGAGTGGGTCCCCAGGACTACTAAGGGTTTCTTGAACCACCCTCTGATGTTTGGGAATTAAAGAAGGTGCATTTGGTATGATCAGACCTGCCTGTTAAGTTTCCAACCTGTGGAGTTATTCTCATTAAGTGTTGGTCTTTGCCATGCCAAGTTAAATCTCGTGTAAAAAAGATTGGGCTAATACGCAGGCAGCTGTACAAGGACTTCAATGCAGTCCTTTCATTCTTCAGTGAAACAATTCAAAATGGCCCCCAGTGGATCTGAGAATGCTTTATTATTG